AAAAAATCAACAATTTTACTTACGAATATTTTATTAAACCAAATGAAATCCAAATTTCTATGAAATCCTCTTTTTAGAGTGCAAGAAGCAAGCATCCATCTCATAATCCAAATCACTGAAATCAAAGTTCAGTATTATAGTGTAAGAATGACAACATATCCACGTGTTCTAGTCTACTAATAATAAAATTATAATCAAAAAACACTTTTTAAAGGAGTATTTACCAGAAATGTTATTTACCAGTAAATGTGCAGTATTTCTGAAAAATAAGAAATTGTTTTTTTTTGTTTTGTTTTTTTAAATAAAATCAATTAATTTGAGATGCTTTTGATTATTAAAATTTAATGGAACCATTAAAATGGAATCCAGAAAATAATGGAAAACAGAATTTGGTAAAGATAAAACTGTAAAACTCAATTAATTAGACAAGCTTTTGGATTAATAAAATTTAATTTAACCATTAATACAGAGTACAGAAAAATGAAAATGGAAAAAAACTGAATTTGGAAATAAAATGAATTTCATAGGGCCCTATAATTATAATTAATTTTTTTGTGGTAATAAAGATAGATGTAAGTGAACAATAGCCTTTAAAATGACTTAAAATACATATATAATAGCAATGAGGCAATAATAATTAGTTCAAATAAAGTATCAAAAGAAGACGCGGGCCTGTTTTAGGCTTCTCCTTATTTTTAGATTTTAGACATCCATCAAGTGATGAGAAAAAAAATTGCCGCGCTGGTGGAAACAACACGAGACCGTGCTACCGCGACTGTCAAGAGTGGCTCAATGGTGTTTAGTGTCCCGCAGCAGCATGTATGGTGCGTGCCGTCAGCGCAGCTGAAAAGTTCTGCGTTCAAATGCATGTAATAGGCTAAAGCTTGCCGCAAAGCATCGGCAAAAGTAATTACCGTGAATGTGTCAGGGGGAAATAGCCTAGTAAGGAAATATTTGAATTATTTACTAAAAAACTAGTGTTTTCTGAGTCGGTGTCGCAAGGATGAAGTTCCTGATCCTGACTCGCCATCTCCTCATTAGACGAAGTGCATCTTTATGGATTATGATTATGATTATAATGAAAGAGTTTTTGTTTTTGATTGTTCGTTTTATTTCGTTAAGTAATAATTTAAAGCTTTCTATAGATATATTTATCATGTCTGTGAGGCATGTATTCGCTGAGTTTCGGTTCTTTTTTGTGAAGTGCTCCTGTTCAAGACCGAGACGGCAGAAAGCGCATCATGTTTGTTTTCTTTATTTTATAAAAGCACAACGTTTTGTTGATTGAGTGAGTGCACACAAATAAAAGTAGACCCTTAACAGTTCCGAATGATGTATTACTCTTACCTTTATGAGCAAAAATGACGGTGTATCCACTGTAAAAAAAAATACAAGTGATCGCGCTGGCGTCTTCATGTCCTGCAAAGCGCGCTTCAGCTTCCACTCTCTGCGCAAACTATTGGACACAGCGCACATTTATCTAGGTTTAACGTTTAAACATTGTTATATGCTTGAACTGTTTAATATCTATAGATTTTATTTTAGGCAAGTCGTGATGATTTGAGAAGGCTAAATTGATCAAACATAGGCTCACTGTCTGCCGCTGGCCGCTTGGTCGTTACTTTAAATGAGTAACGTTAATTAGGCTATGCGAGTAGGCTACTGCTCATGTCTGAAAATAATATATGAAAAACAAAATTATTTTACATAAAATTTTCAACTTCAACTTATTTCAGTTTAAACCATGCCATGTCAACATTTCTAATTTTTTCTTTTTAAGTTTAAGTTTGTCATCCAAAATGTAAAAAAAGTTTTATTTTATTTCAACTAACAAAAATGTAACAAAATTTTTTTTGATAATTTTAGCTAGCAAAAAAAAAAAAAACTGGTACAATTTGGGGTTTCATAAATTTGATTTATTTATTTTGAAGCAAGGAAGCCACAAATCTCACATTTGTTGAACAGCTTTCAGCTATAATATATAATACAACAGGAAAAGTAGCTAGTTGTAAATGTATCCATTTTGATGCATATATATTAGTATTACTCTTACCTTTATGAGCAAAAATGACGGCATATTTTAAGTTGTTTCCACTGAAAAAAATGCAAGTCTAAGACGCCTCCATGTCCTGCAAAGCGCGCTTCAGCTTCCACTCTCCGAACAAACTATTGGATATAGCACACATTTATCTAAGTTTAACGTTTAAACATTGTTACTGTTTTATATCTATAGATTTTATATTAGGCAAGTCGTGATGATTTGAGAAGGCAAAATTTATCAAACAGACTATGATCAACTCACTGTCTGCCGCTGGCCGCTTGGTCGTTACTTTAAAAAAAACAAAAAAAATTATATTTAACTAACTAAAAATGCTCCAAACATTTTTTCTAAATTAACTTAATAAAAACGAAACGAAATAAAATTACTTTGCCATTACATACAAAACTGAACTATTTTAATAGCTGAAACAGTAGTATAAATAAGCTTGGGAGAAGGGGGAAAAAAAGACAGGCTCGGGTCGGACTCGGGCCAAGAATTCTGATGAGCTGTCAGACAAGGGCCGGGCTAGGGCCTGAGCGTCTCGGGCTAGGGCCTAAATTTGAGGCCCGTGCAGGGCTCTAGCCTAGCGTAAATAACGAGAGGCAAACGCAGAAAACAAACGATAATGATGTCTCCGAATACAACAAGATGCTGTGCAGTGCCAAGTTGTAAAAAAAAAAAAAGGGTTTGCGTTAGGAAAGAGTGAATGAACTTTATTTTTAATGAAGATCCAGACTGCGTCAGTAAGAACTTAGTCCTTTGTTCACTTCAATTTGCTGCAGATTCGTTTACAAACAATTCGACACAGGATTTTCAGAAAGATTGAATCTAAAAGACTATGCTGTGCTGACTATATTGGATCCGACAGTAATGTCGCAACACACAAGTGTAAGTAACTGTTTTTATTACATGATCACTATTACTTTGTCTGTTTTTGTCATTATTTCTGAACAAGCTTGTAATTAGGCATTATACACAACAAATGTTCTACAACAAAGTTACGTTATATCTCAAGGTTTTATTTGGTTAGCAAACGGAAAAATAAAGCAGACCGTGCCATTTTCAGTACACATACATACACTCGAGTCGACCTATGTTTATCGTGTTTATATTATTTTACATGTTAATGTTGAGAAAAACAATAAAATCCACATGCTCAGGTGAAAATTTGTTCCTCAGTCTAATAACAATAAGAATGTGCGCCGACAAAGATAACAGTGTGCGAAAAGTTTCTTTGTGTTAAACCTTTGTGCTTAACACTTTGTGTTAAACCACTCTCCCTCGTGGAAACTAAAAGGAAGCATATGTCTCAAGATCATTCCGCTATCATAAGTAATTCCAAACTTAGCAAGGCAGAGACGACATTCTGTGATCAAATATAATAAACTTGTTAACATGCTCCACAGCGCCACCCAGTGCATTTAGTGTTTTTACTTTTTGAATAATAATTGCAGATAGAATATTTGAATGTTCAACTACTTGTGCACACCTCTAGTCCATCTATGAGGAATGTCTGTCAAACATACACAACTGTTAGCCAATCATATCAGTGGGCATTTACTTCCAAGTCTACAATCCGCCACGCCTATTCAAACAGAGCGTTCTAATGAGGGGGGTTAAAAACAGGACAGAAAATAGCCTACTTCTAAATTATGTTTTTTGGTGTAAAAATCTTGATAATATTATAAGAGGACCTCAGAGAACAGAACAAAATAATAAAAAGGCAGTTCATGACCCCTTTAAAAATACAATTATTAATTACTAATACTATTAGTATTACTAATACAAAACAGTCCCTAAGTTTGAAATATGTCCAGTAAGTTTTGAGTGTAAAAGGCACGTGTCAGAGGGTATTTGCACATGTAAATGATCAGTGAAAGAAAAAAATAAGCTCTTTAAGTACTCAAAAGAGGACACTGTGGTCTTAGTAATAGTATTTCTACACTTTGAGAGACTTGATGCCAGGGTGTTATGGGTGGGGTTTTAATCATGTTGCTATGCTGTTTTGGGATATCTAGGTGCTTGCTTACTGGACCAAGTCAAAAGAGTCCACCCCCATGTCCCAAGAGATGGCTCAGGTCTCTCCATCTATGGGATTTTTTTGGTTTCGACAGTTATATCATTCACCAGTATTAACTCAGATCAACCCAGAGAAAAGAAATAGCACACATCAACTCAACATGTCTCACAGTTTTATAGTGTGGTCCAAAAATCTGAGACCACATTAAAAATCTGGTATTTTTTTCTCTCATTTAAACTTGGAAAAAACATTTTAATATTTTGAAACCTGTAAAACAAAGAAATTTGACAAAACAATTCAAAAATATTTCTTCATTATTTTAAGATTTTGTGTAGAAGTAAGTTTATGCAATATTTTTATATGCAATAAACAGATCCAACATGATCATCAGGACTGACACAAAAGCTCTTTCAGCTTGAAAGCTGCTGTTGTTAAAGCAAAAGAGGGCAAACCAAATATTAGGACAATCATTCATAGTCATTTTTTAATTCAAATCATTATGCTGATAATGTAATTCGTAAAAAAAGCAGTGTTTTCATTAGTGGTCTCAGACTACAATGTTTATTATTCTGGTATTATTTATGATCATAGCATGAGCATTACAAGACAAGTTGTGCACCAATATTTCATACTTATGTTCAAGGTTTGTTCACATCCCTTACCCAGAGTATTCATTAGAGAAGTGAGATTTCTGACCTTTATGGCGACGGGGTAGACAGTTGAGGCAATTTCAAAGCTTCCTTTCTTGAACATCATGACTGATGTATTATTAATGCATGTACCTGAAGACAAATTACATGATACACACATGAAACAAACATAATACCATATTAACAACCAGTTCACAACACCTCTTCCATGTTAGTTATTATAACTTTATATACGTATATAAATTAGTGGAGAAACTGTAAAAGGTCAATTGTAATTCATTCAATCACAAACAAGCAAGCAAGCTTTTCAATTACATTACTTCTCTGCCTGTGATCAACAAATGTGTTTAGCTCGCTTTGTGAGAAAAAAATTAACAAACACTGATTTTGAATTATGGATGTCCAGTATTTGTTTTCTGCTGTCTAAAGTTATAATGCCTTTAAATTTAAAAATATATACACCACTGTTTAAAAGTTTGGGGTCAGTAGGTAAAATAAATAAATAAATTATCACGGCTTCTACAAAAATATTAAGCAGCACAACTGTCCTCAAAATTGATAATAATAAAGAATCTGAAGACAAGACACTGAAGATTAGAGTACTGGCTGCTGATATAAAAATATTTTCAAATAAAAATAAAAAACTGTTATTGTAAATTGTAATTATATTTCACAGCATTACTGATTTTACTGTATTTTTGAACAAATAAATGCAGCCTTGATGTCCATAAGAGACTTCTTTCAAAAACATTAAAAATCTTACTGGCCCCAAACATTTTAATGGTAGTGGATGAAGGAAAGGAGATGAAGGAGGTCTCCTCTAGTCTCCCTTTCATATTAATAATAATTTCTGAGAATGAGTTCAGCTCACCTTCGGGGAATATGAGGATGGGCAGTTTGCTTTTGTCTTTTACGTGATCGCTCAACCTGAAATAAAATTCATTTAATTAATGACAATAATGCATATGAGTGTTATAAAAAACACAATTCAGTGAGATATTTGAACTAATAATGTTACAAGCAATCTTTTTAGAGGAATCCAGCACTTCTGTTCAAAAGCCACAGAAATAAGATAAGCTGTAAGGTTGTGTCACCTTTTAGCCACTAGATGGCGATCTTTGACTTCTGAGCGCTCGAACCAAATGTGCGGACAAGCTTTTACCATAGACTTCTGAATGAGCCCCATCAGGCCCCCATGGATCTGACCCACCTATAACACACACATGCAATTAACCCTTTCAGAGCTTCTTTCTCACACACACCAACTACAGTTCCAGTCAAGAAACAACACACACACACTTACCATTGCATAGCAGCCGTCACTGGCCAGTATAATGACGTCAATGGGTGACGTGTGGTTGGCGACACAGATGCCTCCATTCTTGGGTTTATTTTCACTGTCCCAGACAAAGACACAGAGAGAAGATTGTGAGCGGAGAGTGTAAATAGTGGCAGGAGAAGCAGAGCAATGTGAGTTTATGGTAAACAGGCCAAATCTAATGAAAGAGTTTGGGCTGACATGCAACAGTTTTTAGTAGTGTCTTCTTCATGCTATTTTGTTGACACAAATCCCTGAATGTCCCTGTGAAAGTAACCAGTTTGACTGGTCAAGGGAGAGGTCCTGAGAGAAAGACTTTTCTTCTTTTCTTTATTCTTATCATATTTTGGGAGGAAGATAAAATAAGATAGAGAGAGAATGCACAAGGAGGACTGTGACCTGAAATACCACACGATCACATTAAGTATTCTCGTAGCTTCGTAAAATTACGGTTGAACCCCTGATGTCACATGGATTATTTTAACGATGTCCTGGCTACGTTTCTGGACTTGATCGTGGTAAGACCCTTGCTGTCTATGGAGGGTCAGAGAGCTCTCGGATTTCATCAAAAATATCTTCATTTGTGTTCTGAGGATGAACGGAGGTCTTACGGGTTTAGAACGACATAAGGGTGAGTGATTAATGACAGAATTTTCATTTTTGGGTGAACTATCCCTTTAATATTCTCAATCACCAGCTCTCATTCACTGTAACTGCATTGAAAAGAGTGACTAGTACATTCTTCAGAATGCTTTCTTGAGTTTGTGAGCATGTGATTTTAAATGCATGATTTAAGTGTGCAATATGCATGATTGTGATGGTGTGAGATTGTAAGCATGAGTGATTGTTAGTGTGAATGTTAGAATGTGCATTAGTTTGTGTAATTGTGCGACTGCCTGATTAAGAAAGTGTGTGTGATTGTGTGTGTATATGACTGACTGATTGTTAGTGTCTGATTGTGGGAGTGACTGAGCATGTGATTGTGTGCGATTCTGAACGTATATGTGTGTGTTTCTGTGATTGTGAGCTACCGATTGTGAGAGTATGTGTGTGATTGTATGTGTTTACGTGAGTGTTTGATTGTGAGCTTGTGAATGTGTGTGTGATGTTTGTTGATTGTTAAAGTCTGATTGTGAGTGTGTATGTGAATGCTTGTGTGATTGAGAGCATCTAATTGTGAGAGTATGTGTGACTGTGAATGTATGTGAGCATGTGATTGTAAGCCTGATTGTGAAAGTATGCGTGCGATTGTGTTTGTATGTAAGTGTTTGCATGATTGTGAGAATCTCATTGTGAAAGTGATGGTGAGCATGTTATTGTGGGTGTCTGTGTGTGATTGTGAGAATCTTATCGTGAGAGTATTCTTGTGATTGTGCATGTTATGTGAGTGTTTGTGTGATTGTGAGAATATGTGGGTAATTGTGAATATATGCGAGCATGTGATTGTGAGCATATATGTGATTGTGAGCCTAATTGTGAGAGTATGTGTGTGATTGTATGATTCTGAGAATTTCATTGTGAGAGTGATGGTGAGCATGTCATTGTGAGTGTCCTTGTGTGATTGTGAGCATCTGATTGTGATAGTATGCTTGTGATTGTGCATGTATGTGAATGTTTGATTGTGAACATCTGATTGAGAGCGTATTTGTGGGATTGTGTGCATGAAAGTGATTATGAGTGTCTGATTGTGAGAGAGATTGTGGGCATGTCATTGTGAGTGTCCTTGTGTGATTGTGAGCATCTGATTGTGATAGTATGCTTGTGATTGTGCATGTATGTGAATGTTTGATTGTGAACATCTGATTGAGAGCGTATTTGTGGGATTGTGTGCATGAAAGTGATTATGAGTGTCTGATTGTGAGAGAGATTGTGGGCATGTCATTGTGAGTGTCCTTGTGTGATTGTGAGCATCTGATTGTGATAGTATGCTTGTGATCGTGCATGTATGTGAATGTTTGATTGCGAACATCTGATTGTGAGAGAAATTGTGAGCATGTGATTGAGAATGCGAGTGTTTGATTGTGATTATTCTAAATGAGTATTTATGTCTGTGACTGCATGCATGTGGATGCTAATGTGAGTGTGAGCATCTGATAGTGAGAGCTTGTATGTGTGATTGTGAACGTGCGATTTCAGATTGCACAATGACCCAAAATGCCAAGGCTTCAGATGTTTGGAAATTTCCAGTAAGCGTGCGTATGTTCTTCCACACATCTGTGACGCTTCTTACCTGTGATGGTATGTGATGATAGCAGTCAGTGCTCTCACACAAATACGGTAACACATCAGGTGCACTTTCTCACTGAGAAAATGTTTCACCCTGCAAACACACACAGCGACACATTAACATCCATTAATGGCTTCACAGATATGTTGGTTCAGCACTAGTTTAAGAAAGCAAAACAAATGACAAAAAAATCATATAATTTTTTTTTTTATTTAACGAATTTTCCTACCTCCCATTGGGCAGAAAACCAATCATGGTGGTGAAGACAACCAATAGGCTCACTCCTGTGATTGCTAATGTTAACCTGATAAACCAAAAACAAGGCATTTCAGCTCAAACACTGGAACAATCTTTACAAAATGTACCCTTTAAACTATTTTTAATTTAAAAGTGCACAGTAAGTTTTGTTTGCATTTTTCTGGATTTGTGAAACATATGTGAGGATGTGACCTACTCTATGTAGAATATTCAGAGTATTCATCTCATATGAATGTATATCATTTTAATATTTCATCATTCGATTTCAAATTATTTTTATTTTTTATTTGTAGCACAAATTTTTTTAGTTAGCAATAAATTACTAAGTGCACCTTTAATATAAAAAGTCAAGTTTTTACTTTTGAGCCTTTGACTGGAGATACAAAGATAGAACAGGATATTAATGAAATGAAATGGAGAGAATGTAATATGTCACAGGCCAAATATAAACCTACATAGCTATATGATCACCACAGCTCCAAGAGCACGCACTCCCCACCGCACCACAGCTCTGACTCAATGTATGCTGCTGAAAAATGTAAGCAATGACACTGGGCATTTAGGTTTCTGTCCATGATTCAATTAATCCCACAATACCCAGGTGAGAACATCTGATTAAACAGAGCTCAGCTATCAGGCGCTCTTCCTCATCTCAAATATGCACACGGGATGGTGAGGAGTTTCTATTAAAGAATGTGGGTTAAGGCCACGACCCTGACTGACATTAATCCTACACAAGCTCCATATGGCCCTGAGGGGGCGTCAGAATTAGCCTGCATTTTAAGATGCTAAATTCAGACTTGTGTGCCAGAACAGAGCAAGTGTCTCAGGGTGGGCCAGTTAGAATGATGTCAAATTATAATGTCAGCCAATCAAAAATAAGGGTTATTATTTATTTAACACTCTAATTGGCAGTTGAATGTTACAAGAGCTGCTTTTTTTCTGCTCTGTCATATGACATACAGGGGTCCTTGTAAGTATTATAAGGGATGAGAATTTAATGTACAAATGTACCCAACAATGAACCATGTACTGTATCTATGCTGGATTGTTTTATCACAGACATGTAAATGAGAGCAACAGTAGTTCTCTCTGCTCCTTTCTTCATGAAGCAACGGTTTCTAATTTGAATACTCTGTGCTATGTCCCCAACAAAAAAAACACCCAGGAAGTAATACCATAATTTGAGATCCTAGACCACAAAACCAGTCATAACTAGCACAGGTATATTTGTAGCAATAGCCAACAATACATTGTACGGGTCAAAATTATCGGTCAATATTACAAAAATAATACAATATTTTTCTTTTATGTCAAAAATCATTAGGATTTTAAGTAAAGATCATGTTCCATTAAGATATTTTGTAAATTTCCTACCGTAAATATAACAAAACTTAATTTTTGATTAGTAAAATGCATCGCAAAGAACTTCATTTGGATAACTTTAAAGGCGATTTTCTCAATATTTAGATTTTTTTTTGCACCCTCAGATTCCAGATTTTCAAATAGTTGTATCTCGGCCAAATATTGTCCTATCCTAACAAACCATACATCAATGGAAAGCTTATTTATTCAGTTATTCATAAAATTGACCAGATTATGACTGGTTTTGTGGTCCAGGGTCACATTTGTTACATATCGTTGTGTTACTTTGTACGCCAAGGTACTTCAAAGATTACCGATGCACTACCATGGTACATGTCAAAAAACATAAAATTACCATATGTATTAAAAAGCCATGGTAGTACCACAGTGCATTTCAGCACTTGTTAGTTGTTAGCAGAGGCCTCATTTCTCATTGTCTTTTTCATTTTAGCATACTTCTCTTCTAATCTTCCACATCCGTCACTCACCACCACTGCTCATTGCGTCCTAAACTGCCATTCGGCGGTGAAGCCACTGGAAGTGTTCGAGCGGCCATCTTACTATTCCCTACCAGCAAAGGGCATCAATGACTGACAGCCAAAACACTGACCTAAAATCCCCCGATTTGAAGCTTATCGGTCACACAGGATTAGTTTTTATGTTATGTGTATGTAAATTAATTGTTACTTCAGATGTTATCTACAATGTTTATGTCTGTTCGGGCAGGTTAAGGGATATATTGAAATCGTTTAGGTGGGCGTGTCTGCTGTAGGGCTGTCAAAAAAAAAAATTTAATTTCGAATATTCGTCGAATTTAAAATAAAAATCCACATTCGAATGCAAAAACGTTGCATTCTAATTTTAGGTGTGCGTTAAGGAGGCAGCCATATCAGTGGCGCACAAGATGCAATGACGATGTGTCATTGCATTTTAATGTTTTTGTTAGCCTATCCAGTTGAAGCCACTAGATTCAACGCTGCTGCGTTGTCAATTACAAATATTGCGGGAAAAGAAAACATCAATGCGGAGAAGATCTTGTTTATGTCAAAACTGAAACCAAGCTGTTCACACAGAACGCATATTTTGCGCATTTTCTAGAGGGACATCTATCACCGTTGCACTCGCATCTCGCACATACATGATGCTGTTTTGTTTATAGTTGTTTAAGCAACTTAAGGTTTATAAACATTATGCACTTTTTTTCATGGATAGTCATGTTATCTTATGCTCGATGCGCCCTCTTGTGGCCTCAGAAGAGAAGCCAAAAGCTTTTCTTTACCCTAACTGAAATTATGCATTTTAAATTCGAATATAATTCGAATTTTTATAATATTTAAACACAAAATTCGAATTTAGTTTTTCAGCCATTTTGACAGCCCTAGTCTGCTGTGCTCTGCCGACACAGGTAACATCCAACACAAAATATATTTCTTGATGTACGTAATTACGAAAGAAATTTTTAAATGCATATGTTGAGGATCTTGTCCATCTGATGTTTATCATGTTCATCTGATGTACGGTACTGTAATAAATATGATACGTAACTTTTTATACGGAGAGGAAATGGCCAACATTAAACAAATAACCATTTGCATGCCGTTTGCGTTTACGTTGTAAGAATGTACAGGGATTCTTCAGATATAAAAACTCATTAGGTGATGTTTAGTCATTAAAATCATACGATTTCCTATTCATTTCAAAAGAATGTATGGGAATACCAATATGGCGGCTTCACTTTTATGACGTCGTGAGCAATCCAGTTCTCTATTATAGATCAGTGGTTACCACCCAAAATAAGAGATTTAAAAAAAAAATTGTATCAGTTAATATTGGATAAAGTATATCTGCCAATACTCAGGATTTAATTGCAATACTAATTTCTCCTATTTTTACATTTATTTGACCACCTAACGCTTATTAAAGTAATTAGTGAAATAATTTTATAACATTTTTAAATGTAATCTTCAGCAAATCTCAAAATGAATATCCATTTCTCATACTGTACATCACAATGATGTGACACCTAAATTCACTAGTAGCATTTAAAATGACTGATTTTAGTTTTTAATATTTTTTATTTATTTAGACAAAATAGTACAGAATTGTAATATCAGCCATTTATGGGTTATTGGTCATAAAATGTATTCGTATCAGCCAGATTTTTAATATCAGCGCCGTTTAATCTAGAACTCCATTTTCCTTCTTCCTCACCTGAGCGGCAGCAGGAACCCATAACGGATGACAACGCCGAGACCCCACAGCACCGTCAGTCTGGTGCTAATGTGCTGGAAGTTATAGTTGCTCCTGGTCAGCAAGTTCCACGACTCAAGCTCCTCTGCCGTGAAACGTTTGGTAACCTCGTCGTCTACGATGCTTTCAATCCCACGGCGGCAGAAGTAGAAGGTGTCTGACATTTCAAACTCTGATGTGGAAGGGGAGGGGCCTGTGGTGGTGGAGGAGGCGGAGCCATCCAAATCTCGGCTGCTGCCGTTTCGCCGAATCTCTTTGAGCTCCTCTTCCAGCGATGTAGGTTCTTTAGCAATAATGCCTGAGAATAAATAATACATACAATATCAAAACCCTGAAGAAATTATATCTTTAATATGCAACCGAATTAACAGACATCGCCAGTAATTGTTGCCTGAAAATAAAACACCTCAGTTCACATCCTGTGAGATTGACTGAGCACTTGGGAAACGCCAAAACAAGCAATGCCACATGCAGATGAGCACACAGCAGGAGTAATAGATCATTATCCCATAGGTTTACACAGCCACTGACACACGTACCATTAAGACTGTAAGGCTTGTACAGTAGATGGTTCTTCTCCTTGGCTCCTCTTTCCATCCTCACTGTGGCCCACTGGAAAACAAAGAAAAACAAACTCAATTTAAATTGCCACTGCAACATCCTAGTAATGTTTTACTATTGTAAGAATGATCATGATTTGAAAAAAGTATTATCTAAATATTTATGTATACAAATGTATTAAATAATTTAATTCATATTTAACATTCTGATCATGCATGAAATAAACAATTAATGGGGGGGGGGGATATCTTCATTCTTCTTTTTAATTCAAAGTTGCTGCGGTGATGACATATTTGTAGGCCAACGCAGAAGTTAGCAACAATCTGGTTGCCTCTACAAAAACCCAATAGGGTTTTCCATTGGTTTTTGGATTATTGCAGAAAATAAGCTTTGTGACCAACTAAAGTTTATGATTCTTACGTTTTGTTCATCATGCTCTGTTGAAGCCTATATACAGCGGAAGTAAAAAGCTTAAATGGACTACACCACTCACATGATTTCAACATCACCACCATAAAGCTTTCGAAAGTCTTTATTTTAAAAAAGAAATGTTCCTTGACAGTTTGAGTGAAGCAAAAGAACGATTAAAAAACCCCATTCAAAAACCTACTGACTTCAGGACAATGGAACTGGAAGTGCTAAAATGCTACAGGAACTTGTTTCCGGGTTTTGGCCTACAAAAAGAATTTAATCCCTGCAGCACACTATTACAATTCTAATGTACAGTCAGTCAGTCATTATCGAGAAATAAAACTCATACACATCCTCAGTGGATTATATCATAATGGACCTTAAGATAAAACTGCCTGTTTCATGATCTGAAAACACATTGCAATGGACTGTAGCACAAACACACACAGACACGCATACATATTGAATATTCCCCTAGGGAACAACAAGCGCTTTATTGAAAAACTGTGGGAGGAAGGAATAATGTCAGTATGTTAATTCAGGCATGTGGAGCACACAATGCACACAATTGACTTGCTGCACTGAGAATCAGAAAACACTGAAGGGCTGCTATTGATATCTTGCCAAATTAACACAGGTTTTGCTTCAACTTCAATGCCTCAATGTTGGCCTATTAATTTGTCTTATTTCACTAAAATAATTTCATCTAAACCAGGGATTTTTCTAATCTGTAATAAGAGTACTTTGAGATTTTTCATCATTTTGTCCCTGGAGATTATGATACAGTAAAACTTCGCAATCCTAAATGTGCAGCTCAAACTGCAGAGCGGTAGGTGCTACACACAGTCAGGAATAGCACTTTTTAAGCATTTTACTTATGTTTTACTCTAATTTTTAGGAACAAGATCAACTTTATTGCTTCCCCATGACTAGGTTGGCCAAGCTGAATGTTGTTTAACACCTTTAACACGTTTAACTAGAATTTCTCCTTTATTTCAAGAAATTCTCCTGTTTGTTGTTGGAAAATACTTATTTTCAGAAATTTCAGGGAGCAGGACTAGAGTCTCACACACACGTCTGCTCATGCTGTGCGAATGAACACACGGTTACATAACAGCTTCAGACGGATGTGAGGTCATGTTGAAATAAATCAGCCACAGCTGGAGAGGAGCAGCCCCTCAGCTCTTCACTCCACCTCCATTCCTGTCTCTCAACTCCATGATTATAATATGGGGGGAAACAGTGCCATTAAAGGAAGCAAATTATGCATTTTCTAGAAACGGTCACCAGATGTGCATTTGATCAACACGTCCTCCTCATCCAGATCTCATTTCTTGTACCTGGCCTATTAGGCTCTTACGTACACAGAAGCTGTGTTTATATTTAGATCCTAACAGGTTTTGGACCAATAGAAATGCAAACAGTGCACTCAGTAGAAATGCAAACAGTGCACTCAATGTTCAATAACCTCCCAACTCCATCCATATCTTATCAGATGGCCACAATAATATAACATTATGAATATGTAAAACCTGTCAGTGTGCTCTGGAAGCACATGAGAAGTTCACACTACTAAGTGCACTCCATAAATAAAAAAGTATCAAAATGCACCATGTTAGTACCATAATTTTTTGGACAAGGTACTGTGATAATGCCATGTTTTTTTAACATGTATTATGACAGTGCCCTAGTATTATTTGATAAACCTTAGAATGCCATATAAATACCATGGCACATGAATAAGGATGCACAATATTGTTATCATATCAGCTATCTAATGATTCTTGTAAACATTACATTTTTAACTGTTGTTTAAAGGGGTCATATAATGCGATTTCAATTTTTCCTTTCTCTTTGGAGTGTTACAAGCTCTTGGTGCATAAAGAAGATCTGTAAAGTTGCAAAGACTAAAGTCTCAAATCCAAAGAGATATTCTTTATAAAAGTTAAGAGTCAACCACGCCTACCTAAAACGGCTCGTTCTAACACATCCCCACGTCTACGTCATGATGTGGGAAGATTTGCATAACACCACCCAAATGTTCACGCAAAGAAAGAAAGCGTAACTTTTATTCTCGCTGTAGTATTGATGCCGCAAGCCCGCCGGCCGCGCCGTTCTCAAGAGAGAGCAGTTTACTCTGCTCTCTCAAGCCGAACTCCGGCCTCCGCTCACATTGCTCACTCTCACTCCGCCGTGTCTCTTCGCTCCGGCCGGACAGGGCATCACAATATGGTAAGGGGCGTAACATTTCCGTCACACGCTTGAGGTATTCGGCCAATCACAACACACTGGATAGCTGGCCAATCAGAGCACACCTCGCTTTTTCAGACCGATGAGCTTTGTAAAAATCGACGCGTTTCAGAAAGGCGGGGCATAGAGGAGAAACAATAATGTACAGTATGTGGAAAATAATGTGTTTTTGAACCTTAAACCGCATAAACACATTTCATTACACCAAATACACAAAATAATGTTCTTTTTAGCAACATCATATGACCCCTTTAATGTTTACATTTTGATTTTAAAACTTAAATTTTTTTTTTATGCAAATCATTTAATAACCGTTTAATGTCATATTTTGCAAATATCATAACAGATACATACATTTTTCTTACTGTACATTACAATGTTGTGATGCCTAAATTCATTTATCGCATTTAAAACAACTGATTTAATTTGACTGAACGATTGGTTATTCATCTCTCTCACTCCAACCTTCCTGTCAACTCTATGCTATTCAGTAAACAAATGCAAGGCCACAAATAAATCAGTCTGAACAACAGCATCCTGAAAGAGAGCAAGATGGCCTTCAACTCACCTTAAACACCTTGAGCAGCGTCTTCATGTAGAGGCCGCGGATACCGAAGGACAGACCGAAAATGGCAGGAACGATGATGAAGACCAAGAGCAGTGTGAACCAGACAGTGAAAGAGATGCCCAACAGCATGCACAGCAGATTATTGAAAGGAGACATAAAAGGGCCCATTTTTACAAAATGAAAAAGTGGTTTGTTTTTATGAAGAAAATAAATAAATTGGGGAAAGAAAAGTGGACACCCCAAAAAGGCAGCTTTCTCTGGCACTTTTAGGGTCAAAGTCTCCAGAGCATGAGGTGGAATGGGTCCATAAATAAGTCAGGTGACATAATAAAGTCTTTCATTTCCATTGGCGCATGACTGGATGAAGCAAACACATCATTCTGCATGTGGCACTGCCCAGAGGCGATTTACTTTGCATTTAATGATGCATATTCTTCAACACTGGCAATTCAGATGACTGTAGGCTCAGAACTTGACAGCTCTTCGCTCAGAACCCTGAAATAAAGAAACCTGGAGAATGTGGAGGAAACACAAACAGGAAAGGATTACAATTCACTCAAGTACATGCTTATTCAAATCAAACCGATAGTGACTGAACACACCAAAGTAAACGCAACAGGTTGATCACAAAGCCAAACAGAGTGGCCTGGAGCTACACTGGGACCTCAAACAAGGACACGTTTGAGTCATAGAGCTCCCACGAGTACAGTGGTGGGAGAGAGACACACTTACATAACAGAGAAGAGAAGAGAAGAGAAGAGAAGAGAAGAGAAGAGAACTAATGCAACTCATTCTGAATTTTACTTTAAGTACCAAACTAAAATATACTGTCCATACAATATGAAACCATTGTTTTTATTGTTTACTCAAACTAACTATTTTCAGTACGTGATATAAAACTAAAATAAAACAAAATATACTTTTTTTTTTTTTTATCTAAACTTAAACTCAAAACGAAAATTCAAAATGTTGCCTTGGCAAATAACTGAAATAAAATAAATGTAAGTAATTAAGTAGTTAATGAGGTAATAAAATTAACAAAACCTAAATAAAATAAAAGCTATATATAAATATTAAAAACACTAATAAAAATGAAAGCACATAAATTCAAACGTATACTCAAATTAAAATAAAATCTGAAAATAGAAAAGCTAAATGATAATTCTAAAAATTTATAAATAATAGTATTAATAAATTAAATAATTATTTAATATAAATAATACTAAAATAACAGTCTGAAACTGACCAAAGAAAACCGAGTAAATCTGAAGCACTAAACTATGGAAAGTAACCTACTTAAATCACTATTTTTTCAAAGTCATGACCTTAGTAATGATCTTTAAAAAAGAAAAAGAAAAAGGCATGCAGTTGAGGAACCGTTTATTGGGCTATCCAGGTAAATTAACTGGGAATAATTTGGAATAAATTGATTAAAATGATTTGCTTTATGTTAAAATAAAGTGAATGACAATTATATTTTACATTCAAATGCATTTCATTGACTGTTCTAAATAAAATAAAATTAAGTAAAATTAATTTGATTTAGAGGTTTAAATAACAAGGAGGAAACAAAAACTTTCCTTAGAAATGTAGCCGAATAAGTAATGAGTTTCAATAGCACTTGACTACAATTAAACAAAATCCTTAAGCAGTTGTAGCCTAATAGTAATGAGGTACAATTAATCGAGTACTTACACGACAGGTTATATTATATCCCTGTTCGAAACAAAAACTGAACGTCTCACCGATCATTTCACAGACGCGTCGCTCATGATCCGCGCGTCGCGTGCGCTGTATCTACACAAACACTCGGCGCTTTTGTGGAGCTGCTCCGTTCTCGAGCCGAAGGCGCGTCCTCACACCGGCAGAGCAGACTGTCACGGAGAAGATGCAAGACCGAAGATCCGCGTGTCGTGAGGGACGTACGAGCTGACGCGTGTCTGTCTGTGACCACATCACGGGAGTTTTGTCAGACGCCCGTCTGTCTGTCTGCAGCTCAGATAACACAATCCGCTACTGCGACACAGTCAGATCTCAACGCGTCTCACTGGAGAATTGTGTACTCTAAAACTAACCATAAGTTATATTCCTAGATTAAAAGATTGGTATAAATGGTACAGATTCGCTCTAGAAATTGCTAAAATTTATTTTATAAAGTAGCTAGTAATCATAAACGAATTTGGTTGGTTAATCCTGAGAAGCGCTGAGAAAAGTAACAGATTGTGTGTGATCACGCTATCAATGTGCTGCTTCCGCCACAGGCTGAATAATAACTCACATCTTTACAACTAAACCGAGAAGCTCACGTAGCATTTAATTTAACAAAAAAAAAACAGTGCAAAAATTAAATATAAAAATTATTATATTTCTGACCAATTAGAGACAACTTTCGAGTCTCTAACCCTACCATGTTCTTTTTCTAATGATCAGTATCAGCGAGTCAAAAGCGCTTTCTACTGGCCAACAACTAAATAATCCAGATGTAGACTACCTTACCGAGATACTGAAAAAAACTTTTAAATCCTAAAAAGCTAAAATAACTGTTTTCAAAAAGCATAAGTACTTACACTAAAATCCACTAGGTGGTACTGCAGCACTGTATTCAGTGTCAATGTCAATTTGTATATAGGCTACATATATATTTCCCCCGTTTTAATAGGCCCAGAAACATTAATACGGCCCAAAAACCTTCAAACTGTTAAATGTCACTCAACGAATATTGTTGTCAATGGCTTTTGATTATCTCTCCAAACTCACTGTAGGAATCACCAGTAAAAGGCCAATGAGACACACAAAAAAATTAATAAGAAAAACATTCTAAAACATTTTTTTTCTTTTGTGAAACAGTATATGGTTATGTGTATTGTTTTGAGGATTTCAGTAGTTTATTGCGAATACACAGCCAGTTTCATAATGTTTATGATAGAATTAACCACCTCCTAATGAATTACAATATTGCATATGATTATATACAGATACAGTAGGCTATCTGCATTGTATGATGTTTACATTTACATTTAGTCATTTAGCAGACGCTTTTATCCAAAGCAACTTACAAATGAGGACAATGGAAGCAATCAAAATCAACAAAAGAGCAATGATATATTATTATTATTATTATTATTATTATTATATATATATGATGTTTGTAAATAAAAGTGCCATAATGTGAGCAGATGAAAACCACTAAAAGCAAACAATAACTCCTCAAAATGATGATTACATAATACATACAAAAATCATGAAACTTCCATTACAAACAAACAGATACACAACAAAAGACATACCCAGAGAAGGAGCGGAGTACAGTATTGTGAATAATTCCACCCACCAAAACCCTGACGTCAATCTTTGATGGGGACAGTAGACTCAGCGGGACTTCTGACCCCACTACATGAAGGCTGAAGCGGAGAACAGAGCCTGACCAGACTGTTTTCTAAGCAAAGGTTTCTCTTTGAAGTGACACCAGTGATCTCACTGTTGACCTTTAAATGTGAAAGAAAAATAACAAATATTTCATTATCTATGTGACAATGGAAGCAATCAGAATCAACAAAAGAGCAATGATATATTATTATTATTATTATTATTATTATATATATGATGTTTGTAAATAAAAGTGCCATAATGTGAGCAGATGAAAACCACTAAAAGCAAACAATAACTCCTCAAAATGATGATTACATAATACATACAAAAATCATGAAACTTCCATTACAAACAAACAGATACACAACAAAAGACATACCCAGAGAAGGAGCGGAGTACAGTATTGTGAATAATTCCACCCACCAAAACCCTGACGTCAATCTTTGATGGGGACAGTAGACTCAGCGGGACTTCTGACCCCACTACATGAAGGCTGAAGCGGAGAACAGAGCCTGACCAGACTGTTTTCTAAGCAAAGGTTTCTCTTTGAAGTGACACCAGTGATCTCACTGTTGACCTTTAAATGTGAAAGAAAAATAACAAATATTTCATTATCTATGTGCATCTGATCTGAGAACAGTGTGGCTCTCTGTGATAGAAATGTTTTATGGGTTACTGATTGTGGGAGCTTTTCTGAAATCAGTTTCAAGGATTTTAGTTGATAAGGCTATACAGAGGAAAGAGAGAGGCAGCCTATGGGACAGAAAGTCTGCTGTGATTGGCCACTGTGCATTGAAATATATGATGGATTGACCTGAACTGAACATTAAAACTATACACTGACCACACAGAGTAACTCACAGATCTCCACTGCAGATCATCCAGACAGGTAAGGACAAAATCATCAATCTATGGTTGACATAATAAATGCTAATAGTTCACAAAAAGGTTAATTTTTGTTCAAATTAGTTCAATGAACTAACAATAAACAATACTTTTACATTCAACACTCTATGTTAATGTTAACTTCTACATAATACATGTTTAACATTTTAGCTTGTAGGTATAACTTAACATTAATGTATAATAAACAAACATGAATTATCAACGAACAAGTAGTAGTATATTTATAAATAACATTAACAGATGCCCGCCTTCTATTGCTGCCACACAAGATTTTACCTTGACTGAGGTTGAGTAACTCAAACAGTAACTTATAGTTATATTATAAAATAAGAACTGTGTGACTTTTGATTCTTGAAAATATGTAACAAATGTTATTAAATTATCCAGTAGAAAACTGTTCTTGACTCATAACTTAAATAATATTTTCTAGTCAAATGTATCTCTTCCTGAGACTTAGTATTATTCCATTAAAAGTATTTGGTAATATTAATATCAAGTAATAAAATGATTATATCACTACTGTTTAATAATTTTATGCTTTCTTATTTGAGATACAGTAAATTATTTTATTTGTATTTTTTCTAGAGTTACAGTTACCTCTAACCGGTTACTTCTAATGGGGGCAACTCTAACGCTCTAATAAATTTAATATAAATATCTGGCCTTTCTTAATGTAAATATATTAGTGGTAATATTGGCACATATAGCTTTAATTTACACACAACGGCATTATAATTTGCACAAGATGAAAGATATTTATTCAATCAAAGATTTTAGATTACAGCTTAAAATGTCATATTTGTTTTATTATAAGTGTGTCCCAATTTGTCTATTTATGCACTATCACTATTCTTTGCCATATTGTAGAATAAATAGTGTGTGTATTGTGTTAACACTGAAAATTCGAACAAGAACAAGTGCACCCAGATGATGCACTTATTTAACCGGGAAAAAAAGTGTGGATTATTGGATTGAAAGACAAGGGCTATCAGACTCTGATGCTGGATCCCAAACTGTACATAGTGAATAGTATATGTGTACAGTGTATAGTTCATCACTTGGGTTGGGTCACAACTTATGTCTCACAATTGTTTAAAATGGTATTAATTTACCATTAAAGAGATATATGTTCTAAAAATGAAAATTCTGTCATCATGTCATTACAAACCTATATGATTTTCTTTCTTCTGTGAAGCATAAAAGAAAACATTTTGAGAAATGTCTCAGTGTTGTTATTTGCAAATTCAGTGGCAGTCAATGGGTATCGGTTCGGCAACCAACATCCTTCAAAATATCTTCTTCTGTGTTCTGCACCAGAAAAAAGTCAAACAGGTTTGGAAGAACATGAGAGTAAATGACGACAGAATTTTTCATTTTTGACTGAACTAACCCTTGAACCTTTTCTTTCACTTTGCAGAGTTGATCAGCATTATCAATCACAATGTGGATCCTCCAGAAACTGCAGGCGGGAGCAGAAAGTCTCCCGGTGCAGATCAATCACCTCATCAGCAAAAACAAAGAGGAGATTTCGGCCAAGACCAGCATCTTCAATAAACTGCACAGCAACGTCCTCACACCTGATAAAATCCCTGACTTCTTCCTGCCGCCCAAGCTGACCAAGCGCTGCCTCATGGCAGACGCTGAAAAAATCTCACAGTGTCTGAACGAAGAAAAAAAAGCTCCCAGCTTCGCAAAAACATCACTGTCAAGACCTGGTACCGCCCAGCCACTGAGAGCGAGTCTAAATAAACCTACAGCAGTTTTAAACAAACTCAAACCCATCCCATATTCACTGAGATGCTACGAGTCCGGTTTATTCGAGAGTCCGAACACGCGTCGCAAAGAGTCTTTGTTCCATTCCACACTTACCAGTTACACACTAGAGCGAATGACCATCAAAACACCCAAACTGTCCTGCAGAGCAGTGCTGAAGACGGCCAGCACTGAGAGTGACACGCCCTCTGCTGACTCCTCCCCTTACTCAACACCTCCACCAATCAGAAGAGAGGATTTCACCATCTCTGAAGAGCCGCTTCAGCAAGATGTTCATGCCTCCAGAGACGAGAAAAAGAGAGTTCACGCCACTCCAGACAAAAAGTTCCCGTCAAAAGTCCCTCATCGTGCGAAAGTTATTCAAACGTCCTGTTGCGCCAAACTAGCCCCGCCCATCCAGTTCCCCCTGGACATGCTGCACTGCCAGGAACGCTTCCATCAGGAGCACGTGCTTCCTCTGCCTCAGAGAGGCCGGGTGCGCGTCTCTGCCTTCAGGACCAGCGTGGCCCAGTGCTCTACGACAATTCGCATCCGCGTGATCTCGGTGGAAGGCTTGAGAGATCTCGCTGACCTTCGACCTCTGACCTGCAGCTTGACCCTAAGCCTCACCCCAGGCAAGCTGCAGCGGCAACACAGCGCCATCATCAGGAACTGCCGTAACCCTGTGTTCAATGAAGATTTCTTCTTCCAGGAGCCCGAGGAGCAGCAGGGCAGTCTGGGAGATCTGGCGCTCAGACTGAAGGTGCTGGATAAGGCCTCAGGACTGGGCCGAGGAGTGGTGCTGGGGATTGTCATCAAACCTCTCTGTCAGCTACTGCCACTGTGATGCAAACACACATGGAAATTGTGCTCCATTTGTAGTACTATATGTGTGATAGTGCTCTGTTTGCAGTTCTAAATTAGCAAGAGTTAGTGTTTGTGAGCCATGGAAGGTCAATGCTCCCTGTTGAAAAACCCAGCATATGCTGGTTAGGTATGTTTTGAAGCATGACTGCTGGTTTGAGCTGCTTTAAGCTGGTCATGTGCTGGTCCTAAGCTGGTCCTAAGCAACTAGCTCCTGCTCAGGACCAGCTTAGGACCAGCACACGAACAGCTAAGAACCAGCTTAAACCAGCAGTCATGCTTCAAAACATACCTAACCAGCATATGCTGGGTTTTTTCAACAGGGCTGTACTGACGTCATGATCCAAAAGGATCTGGATAATTGATGTTGCAAACATGTTTAAAAATGATTGGGTAAAAATGGTTGTTCAGTGCAGAGCTCCTAAAGGGACATGGGTGATGGAAAAGAAAGTTTAGACCAAAAATTTGCACTGCTATGAGAAACTCTGCATTCCCTCACAAAACTTTTTTGATTCCCCAAGAGACTTTGTGTTCCTTTGCGAGTCTTGCATTACCCAGAGAAACTTTGCATGTGCTCATAAAACCTTTGCGTTCCCTCATAAGCTTTGCAATCCCCAATAAACTGTTTTTACTCACAAAACTTTCGCATTTCCCTCACAACACTTTTGTATCTCCCTGAGAATCTTTGCATTCTCTCACAAGTTTTTGCGTCTCCTGAGAAACTGTTCACTCGCAAAAATTTGCATGACCCCAAGAAACTTTAAATTTATTTGCAAAACTTTCACATTTTTTCCCAAGAAACTTTGTGTTCGCCTACAAAACTTTTGCACTCTCCCAAGAAGCTTTGCATTTGCTCACAGAAGCAGCGAACACAAATACATTTTTCTTCCCATATATTTTCCTTCACCATGTGCCCTTAGGGGCTCCAGTTCAAATCAGATTTTCCTTTATTTTTGCAATGCAAGGAAACTTCATGCTAGTTACTATGATCGGAGCTATGTGTTTGACAGTGTTTAATTAGACTTCTAAACACAACCTACATCCAGCCATAATGATTAAGTAAAAAATGAACTGTAAATGAATAGATCTTGTGAACTGCACAGATGTTACACAGTGTTAGACACATGTGCTGATCACTGAGCATTAAGCATCATGATGCTTGTGTTGTTCTTAATTGTGTTGTGAGTATTTACTGTATGCATCTCACATTTATGAAACTTTTAAATAGACATATTATAGTAGTTTAAATCTCTCGGAATGTGGATTTAAGAGATAACAAGAAAACAATTCAGAAAAGTACAGAAATAATATAGAATTTCAAAAAGGCAAAATTTAAAAGAGATGTCTGTTTCGATTATTTAAAAAATAAAATAAAATAAAACTATAAAAGTTGTTACCAAAAATGTTTATATTTTCACATCTGATTAAAAAAGGTCTAATCACAGGTGATTTGTCAATACTTAAAATTGTTTTGTTGTTTACTCCAGTGTCATTTTAGTATAATTTATATTTGATATACAATTCAAGTATTTATATTTTTATATTTTCGAGTTTTAATTTCAATTTCAATAGTTTTTGGCCAGGCAGCGCATGAGATGGTTGATATCCCATCATGTTCGCAGTGTCAATAATATCTACAAAGATATAAGTGTAATTTCATGACATGGTCTATATGTAGCCACGATTTAGCTCTAAATTGGACGGGCTACGAGTAGTCTGCTTTTAGCCCACCCGGCGAAATCGAGGCAATCAAAACTCAATCGATTTTAAAACAGCGCAAGAAGAGGCGAAAAAGCAAACAACAGAACAAACACAGCTTTGACAAAGATTAATCCATATTAATTTATACAGTGAACACACTCAGAAGAATTGGAGAAACTGAGGAAGAGTTTCAACATCTGGAAAAGCGGTTGGAAATGGAAAAGATCCAGGTAGTTTTTAATGGTAAAAAACAAACAAACAACAACAACAACAAAAAAAAAACTCCCCTAAACAACATTTCCTCACTAAAGCTCTCATCTTTGACAAAGTCCATCATTTATTTTAATTATTATATTGAATTTATGACTGAACAATGGCTTGTTAGATACAGAGAGAGCATGAGCTAATTGAATAGAATATCTTTGTCATTGTACAAATAACTTACAATAAGATTTATTTTGAAAGTTCCAGATTGATAGTAAAGCTTAAGAATTCAAATGATTTAAAAAGGCAATATAAAATTATCAATTATAAAAAGTTTGCAGCAGTATTAAAATAGTGCAAATAGCTCAGATGTGCAATGCAGCATTAAAACCTAAACAGTACATCAGGGATAATATACTCAATAGCAAAGGATTCTTTTGGAGAAAAGAATTTTAATAAATTAAAAGACATGCGACAAAATGACCTAATATCAATATGCCAGCTTGCCTTGTTTCATTAACGGAATACAATCTCTGAACACAAGAGGGCGAGCGTGAGTTTGCTCTATCCGGTCTCAGCTTTGACTTTCTCAAGCACTCTTAGTCTGAGACTTTACAGGAAGGAGAATGAAGACCAGTTAACAGAGGCCAAAGTGTTTGCCTAATTGAGATAATCATTACAGAGATGTGCCGTGTATGAACTCTTTCACAAACACACATGTTGCAGAAGTGCACATGCTGTAAGGCCAGTGTTAAGCAGATAGAAAGAGAGTGCTAATTAGTCCAATAAAAACCCAAGTGCCTGCTCTAATAGCAAGATAAATGTGCAGGGAGGCAGCGCAGGACCTTTCCTTTAACTGCTGTCAACAGCCAATTAACTCGAAATGAGCAGTGTGTGCATCTCTCAACACTCATCATCAGACACTCGCTTAAAAAATGAGCCTGCATGCATGGACACACACACACACACACACACTTAGCCATCTAAATGGGGATATGCCATAGACTTCTGTTGTTTTTATACTGTATATACAGACAAAGTTCTGTAACCTTTTTTTTTTTTTTTTTTTACAAATTAGGGTGCTGCCCAAAAAGGCGGTTTGTATCTCACTTCTCACTTCTGGGAACAAATTTCTCCACAAAATGGACATTGGATAAAAGGATATTGGACATTTCATTAAACTGAGGAACACACTGCAACCAGGGCAAGTTGTCACAAAGTTAATAATCTCAGGAAATATGAGGTTTTAAAACAAAGGTCCAATTACTCAAATGTATGTTTTATGGATTCTATGTGTTTTTCCCCCTCAAACATCTAGTTCAAAACCCTATTTTTTGTGAAATACTATACTAAAAATACTACAATTACAATATCCTCATATGTTTGCTGTAGTTGTAGATTAATCAATACAGTAAAACCACGCATATTTTGAGAAAAAGACAACTTGATGAAATGACGGCAGATTTTAACTTAAATTTATGGTAACTCTTTATTTTTAACATGACATAGTTACATGTACTTATAGTATCAACAGTAAATTATGCATAATTACAAGTAAACCAAAGCCAAACGCTAACCTTAACCCTAAATTACATGTAATGAATTAATATTTAATAATAATTATTATTTAATTTAACAACATCCCCTTAAAATAAAGTTTATTTATTTCATTTTTTTTATTTTAAGTGCACTTGATTTATTACTAATATATAATTTTGCTATTTATTATTATATTATAACAATATTACAACATTTATATATTAATTTATTCATAAACAAAAACACCTTAAGAAATTGTCACTGGAGTAAAAGTATGACAGCTAGTTCTTTTAGGACAGCTGAAAGTTATGAAAAGCTTAAAAACTTCATAAAGGTCTTAGAAACACTTGAGAATTCATGGAGGTAATCAGAGGAAGTAGCAGACAATCTGCTATATTGAGCACCATTAACACGGGACTTGGCTGCATCTAACAATCCTTGTTAAATGGACAACCTCCAACCATTTCAATTAGCCCGCGGGGCAGTCCGAACACGGCTGTCTATTCTTAGTGAATCACTGAGAAAGAGAGATTTAGTGATCAGCACTACAGCTCTGGTGACCTCTACTCATCTTTTGTTAATGCATGGCAGATGAGCTTTTTATTATGAGCCGCTGACTTATGGCTGGAGGTGTGTTGAAGGGGAAAGGCAGAAGGCACACGCCAAGTAATGAAGCTCAGCCCTGAAAGAACAAATCAATGTGCTTCCACTGAACTCCAGCACCTGAGAGCTGCCACACATGAACCACAACCTGAGGAGCAAGACACTACTGTGTGATGTCCTTTAACATCTCGAGGATATACATTTGAATGCGTCCCTCAGTTTTAATTTGTCTACCAACAATGTTCATCCATCGCCAGAGAAATGTGTCATTTTGTCATTGCTTCTGAATCTGAATATGTCATTTCCGCTGTCATCACAGTTAACATGTTGTTTGCATCTATAGATTTTAACACTAATTAAAATATTTTATTAGTGTTAAAATTGTTGGTTGCAGTGGAAATAAGGTCTCAAACTAAGGGGCAGTTGAAATTTAAGGGGAAAATAATACACAAATACTAAAATAGTTTATGCACCCATAGTTTTTTTAGTATTAAAAATGAAAAAGTGTATTTTTATTATAAAATTTCATACTTGAAGAAAGTCTTTAATTTAAATAAAAAATAAATAAAAAATAGAAATAGCAAGAAACTCAATACATGAAGGCATCTGAAAAGTAGCAAAAATAAATGATTAAATAAATCATGAAATTTTAAAGAAATTCAATATAACATTGTAAGTTGTAATATTTAACAAAATTAAACACCTCGAAAAATGCACAAGTACATTTAGATGCCTGGGGTTGGTAATGTTTTTGAAAGAAGACTTTTATGCTCACAAAAAGAAAAAAAATTACAATTTAAAATAACTGCTTTCTATTTGAATATATTTTAAAATGTAACTTATTCCTGTGATCAAAGCTGAATTTTCAGCATCATTACTCCAGTCTTCAGTGTCACATGATCCTTCAGAAATCATTCTTATATACTGATTTGTTGC